GGGTAAGACATCTGCCTCTTTCCAGAAAGTCTGTAGAAACGAAGCTCATTTAAATAGCTAGCAGCATCAGTCAGTTTGGGACAGTCCACCCAGCACAGCTGTGGGCTTTACAAGCTTGTGATAAAGATCTAGCAAAAAATGCCTGGATCTCAACATGCACATTGTTTTTTTTTTTCTTTTTTTTTCAGTTTGGTCAATGTTGTGTGCTGTTCTGCAGCAGGATTTTTAAACATTTGCATTGTGTAATCATTTGGTAGACGTGTTAAAGTTTCATCCTTACAAGAATTTACTGCTGTAGCGAACAGGAAGGTTTCTGTCGCGATGACCAGCATGGGGGATGAATCCGTATAAATGGAGTCAGAACTGTAAATCAGCCTTTGTCTATAGGAAAACAAACCGCCTCCAGTTTTGTTTGGCTAGAACATTCAACACACTCTTTCCAGAAGAAAAACGTATAAATAGCTCTGCAGGATTTTGAGCTGTGCAATAAATTGAATTGCTCTAGGAGGCTAAAAATATGTTTGACCCACTGGATGGGCCTTAGTGCTCAAACCTGATTTATACATTAAGTGTCTGAGATACTAGAGCTCACAGACTGATGACAGACTCAGTTTAGCGGTTTAAGTTAAAGAAAGGAGGCAGAAAATGTGGATTAATCTTCATCAATATTCTCATTTCAGTTTTTAGGAAGAGCAGTTGTCTATTTGCTTCACATTGCGCAACCCTTGTAAATATTGAAATTGACATAAGCAATATAACAGTTGGTCAAAATTCACTTGTTACCTTGACTAAATCAGGAGGAGCATGTTCGTTGTATTTGGGGAATGTCAGTATGTGGTCTAGATTTATTTCCACGGAGACATTCATTGTTTAGGGGCTTTGAATGAGGCTCTGTTTGCTCTGAGTCTTTTCACTCCTTTGCCAGTTGATCGCCCCCATTTTGTTTTCTCACACTTCCATTCATCCCTCCCCACTTCCATTTTGTCCCCATAAACAAACCAATTTGTACACATTTAGCTTAATGTACCAGTTTGTCTTGGTAGCTACTGGTGTTTTAGTTGAATTATTATGGAGATAACCTTAAAAAATGCTCAAACTGAATATGCAGTTTTTGTGATTGTATGTTTGTTTTCTGAAAACATTTACATTACAAAACGGTTACATCTATCAAAGGTTTTGATCTATACTAATAGACTTATGAATGAGAGGTTATGACCCCGTTAACACTGGTTTATTATGTTAATAAATTAAAAAATATATATATATATACATTTGTTTTTTAGCCAATATTTATTTAAGTGAAGATTATTTTTCTTAATTCTTTAAGTTTGCAAACAAATTGCATTAAAATAGTTTTTTACTTTATATGTATATATTTTTTTAATTTTTTTTAACAATGTTGCGTTTTATAGTGTATTCTCCTCAATGATCATATGATTACAAAATAACATTAAATCAATTAATTTAAGTTAAAATGTATTGGAAAATGTTTTCAATAGATTTAGTGGCAAAACATTCAAAAACATTTTGTTTTTATTCTTCAGGTGTGGAGTCGACCACCTGAAAAACAAACAAACAAACAAAAAAAAGAGATTCTAGATTTCTTTAGAAAATTGGTGGGAAAATATTTGATCCAAACAAAATCTCCAGTGGTTTTTGAAGTACAGAAATACTGATGCATAACACTAAATGCTCTTTTAATTATGGTGCTTATGTTTAAACTTAGTTTAATCATCATTAACCATCTTACTTGGAAATGCCTTATTTAATTTTGTAAAGCAATTTGCTGGTTAAGTGTAGGTAACCAGTTTAATCCACACATTAGCATAGTGAATATATAAGGTAAGCAGAGTAATAAAAAAGTCATTCCACCAAGCTTTGTCAAAATCTGGTTGGGCAAAAATATAATTGACTCCACAGAAATGCTACATTTTCCCCTACAATCCTGTGACTCTTAATTCTTTTTTTTTTTTTTTTTTTAAGTGTCTTGCATGAGATGCTTTTAGAAGACGATTATTATCTATTCACAGCACTGATCTTTAGATTGGAAGCGTCTTTCCTGGGTTCGCTTTAGCTCGTCTGCTTTTCTCACTTTCTGTGTTGGCAAAATGATTCAATTATTTTTAGTCTTGTCTTGTCACTGAAAAGCCGCAGCGAGCGGGGACTGGTGGGTTGGGGGAGGTCTGCTGTGGCTGCATAGAGAAGCAGAGCACACACCCACTTAAACTTTGCAGAGCAATGGCGAACATGTACAAGGCTTAGGTAGGAAGATCTCACTACTTACGGCAAAAAGATGATTATTATGCAATTTTTGTATTAATCTCCCACAGTGCCGTTCTGTTGGTACACCTGTCAGGCGTCGCAGGTTAGATAACCACATTACTGGCGGACTCTCTCCACGTCTGCTTAATGGGTGCAGTCCTAACGTCATCCTTCGCTCTGACTGGTCTGAGCAGTTCTCGCCTTGTGAAACGGGTTGAGTTTTTTATATTTTATCCAAAAGCATTTTATTCCATTCTCACCACGAAACAATGTTTTCGTTGTGTGGGTTCCTCCTGCGTGGTGCAGGCTTCGGCGTCAGGTCCAAAAGATATTTATTGATTACTTGATGTGAAGACGATCTGCTTTCCAGGAAGTGTTTCAGAATGTGCTGGTTGGATAGCATACCTGACAGAAACGGCAACGTTAAATCCTGACGTAATGCACACCAGGATGCTTGCATGTAAATATCATGTTCTGCTGATGTCATGTTTGCAGGTCTGTGTGTTATAAAGTGAATGTTTTCCACACAGATAAACGACGAACCTCATGATTAAATGTTTGAGGGCACTGATTGCAGTATAATGAACCAATGGGAACATGCTAAATAGTTCTGTTAATCCAGTTAAAGTTCAGAACATAATCTCAGCTTTGTGTTTAAATATTTCCACATGAATGTGAAGTATGAGATGAAACAATGTCACTTGTCATAGCTGCATACACTTTCAACAAGGAATTGACCGAAGTTGCAGAGACGGTAAAGAAAACACGTCTGCGTTTGCTGGCCCATCCTTGCAGAGTTTGGACAGCTGCTGCTTTTAGAAGACGTCGTATGTCACAGCAGAAACGGGGAAAATTGCTCCGACCTGAATTTCGTGGCAATTTTTGATTTCTGGCTTTTGTTGGCGTTTGATGTGTCAGTGCATATTTCAGGCTATTACAGTTTCTCTCTGAAAATTGAGGGGTTGTTATGACTATGAGAGCAGAGGCAATGTCACACAGTGTGAGTGATAAAGCAGGCACCCTATTTCACCAAACCCATGAAATAGGGTTTTGATATTTTTAAAACAAAGACAAAATTGTCATGGAGTTAACGCCTTATTCATTTTTTCAGCATTATGTTGATTTGCTTGGCTAACAGTCTCTGTTCCTTACAAAATGTCAATCCTGACGGAGGCTCTAAAAGATAAAATGGCAACTTTGTTGTATTCTGTTTAGTAGGGTTTAGCGATATGAACTTAGCTTTCACACTATTTTTGTAGTACTATTGCAATAGACAAGAAGTATTTACTGCTATTTTTTAGAAACAAAACGTACCACATTATTTGTTTTTTCACAAACACAAATAATGCTTTTGAAAAACATTTCCATTAGTAATGTGCTTCTTTAGAACCCCACTCTCATAAAGAAGTGTGATTTGTATCTCTAACCTGCACACGGTAACCATAGTTTCAAACGTCTTGGTATTCATTGATGCTTTCATTCAACAAGCAGTGGAGAAAATGATGACACTATCAATGCTGACAATGCAGACAGTTTTGTGGGGTTCTGAACCTAATTAATTGGATTTATTGTGACAGACATAAATGAAAATTGTTATCATAGGAAATTTATCATGATACACAATATGATACATGCCCACCGTTCCTGTTCAGCCTTCCTGTTATCTGTTGAAAATGTTGCTCTCTCTCATCGACAGACTGAACTGGATAGATGTCTTGACATGTCATTAAAAATGTATACTTTTAAATAGCATTTCAAGATCCTTATCCTTGCAATAACTTCACTTTAAAACCTCCAACTTATACCGAAAACATCTAACTTTGAGTATTCTTCCCTCTAACAACCCGGAGGGAGGGAGTTGTTGTCACGGTTACCTGGTACAATTGGGTGCATTCACTAGTTGGAAAAGATCAGATTTCTGTCACCAAATTTGCATCTCTTATTTTCCATTAAAAGCAATCCTTGACTTAGATCAGAACTCGGTTAAAAAAAAAAAAAGCAGCGTGCGTGTCTCCCGTCTCTGAGGGAACCGACATTTCCCTGTGGTCTCACTTCTCTCTCCTCACTGAGGTATTTCACAGGGGCCGCCTGAGCAGATATAATTAGGGAGGGCGCAGTCGATAAAAAGGAGAGTGTTGACTATTGACCAGTGATGTCTGCAGGCCTGTGAGGCGCTACAGCGCAGCTCTGCCACCGTGGATGCTGATGCACACATTCTTGTCGTTTTCATTGCCTGCTCGCCTCCGTCTGCCCGCAAAACAATCTTTGGTAAGATCAGCTTCAGTCGCTGTTCCCTGGAAGCTAAACCCCACAGCTCAGAAGACATTAGCTCATCTCGGATCGCTTCAGCTGCAGGGAAGAAAAACTCAGTCAATTAGGAGCGTGTGACCGACGCAAATGGCACATTAGTGAATTAGGGCTGCGGTTTGAGCAGGAAATAGGCCCAGCTTGCCCCTGCTGCGCAGCAGCACTTTGGAGCCTCTGACTCAGTGCATCCCTCTGATACTTATCTGATCGGGCTGGATCCCAATCAGCAGGACTCAGACCTCTATAAAGACCCCATCAATACCTCATTGAGGCTCCGAGACTGCAACATGTCGGCTGGTTAAGCTCCTACAGGAAATACGTGAGGGTTTTCATTCGCATGTCCATATGAGGCTCACGAAAGCAGCAGTTTGTGTAACCATGAGCTCGCATTGCACAGAACAATAAGCGGTCTCATTTTTGATGCTTGTCAGAGTGCTGCAGCAGCGCCCAGCCCCGTGATGGGGGGGATGCCTCCAGGTGAGGGCATGCCGGGGGGACCGATGCCACCGGGCTTTTTCCAAGTAAGTCCTTCCCTACAGCTAAACACAGTTAAACTGATTCAAACACATTTCTATTTACGCCAGAATTAAATGATAAGTAGATCTTCATCATGCCTCCGTCTCCCATGTTTTGATCCTGATATTTAGTGCGTCGTACAAGCCTTTTCCACACCGGCGCTTCAGAACGTGTTACATTTGCTCTGCTTAGCTTGGCAGACTTTTTATAAACGTGGATGTTCTGTCAGTCCGAACCCCTCCTGTGTTGTAAACAGGCGGGCGTGGTTCGGCCATTTCCCTCTAATGGGGAAATCGAAAGGTGCAGCACCTAGTGTAAATCGATAACTCTAGAGAATAAAGTCTTTACAGGCACCTGTGTGGAACCGACTTGTTGGGGAAGCGATTCATCACTAATCCAAAAGATTTCCCCCCCCCCCCCCCTTTTTTTTTTTTTATTAATTACAAGCGACAACGATGCAGTGATTCATTTTTTCCCACCCTCTGGTTATTATCAGAAGTCATTTTGACAACCATAAATGAGCGCACACACACACTCCCACTATCCATAGCAAAAAGCAAATGAGGCAGCTCAATTAGCTTCTCTCATTCTGTCAGATCAGCAACATTAGTGCCAAAGTGCCAGTGTTTAGTGTTGTTATAAAGCTAATTGCATACAGCTTAATTGATGCTGTTAATTCAGGGAAATTAGCGCTGATAACATGCTGCATGCAGCAGGCTTCTTAATGCCTTGAGTGACAGGCGAAAGAGCCCACATCCTCTCCATCACTGTCTCTTTCCTCTCGTTCAGGGCTATCATTTGCTTGTTCTCCTCTGCTTTGTACATGAAAATGAGCACCATGTCTTTGTACGTTTTGGCACCACGCTTTGGTTCTGGCATTTCAGCCGTCCTCTGCCCTGTAGTAACCTTGCTTCTCTCGATGCTCCTTCTTGGATTCTCTTTTTCTCTTTTTTAACTCACACTCCCCCCCTACTTCCCTGTCTCTTTTCTGTCTCCCCTCCCTCCCTGCCTCATCATTCTGTGTGATGCTGCAGGGTCCACCTGGTCCCCAGGGCTCTCCTCACCCTCAGCCTCCTCCCCCTAACAGTATGATGGGACCACACAGTCAGGTAACGCTCTCTTTCTTTCCTCCTTCGTTTCTCTTCCTTCTTCCTTCTCTCTCGTTATTCTGTCTGCAGTCATGTGGGAACGCAGGTTCTCGAAGTTGGTGCTTCCTTGCATTTGCTCAAGCTTTCGATGTGTTAGCAGCTTTTATTGCTCACAGTTCATCAAAGGAAATTAGAGCAATGTTACCTGAATTTTATGTTTGGAATAAAGAAACCTTGTGTTTGTGTTGTAGTCCTTCATGTCGCCTCGTTTCGCTGGAGGCCCGAGAGGTCCCCCCATGAGGATGCCCAACCAGGTAGCGCACACACCTCTTTCACTACAGTGTGGATCTCTGATCTAAGGGTCTTTTCACACCTGGTTGGTTGATAGACTCGGTTTGCCTGGGGACCAAAATTTCAACATTTGTTACATTTTTTCACCTGATGCGGTTTGGGTTCACCCTGCACTGTGTCAAACCAACCAGACCAAAGGGTTTGGTTGCCTGTGGTGACGCTACACCAAGAACTACTGAAGGGAATGACATGAAAACCTCTGAAGAAGACATGAGCAAAACTTCCTTTTTCACTAAATTGAGTTGCGTCAAATTTTAGTGGTTGGTTTTGCCTTTGGAAAAAGACCATGAACACTGGACTCTCGCATTTGTTTAGGTTGTATTTACCCAGAATGCCCTGCGCTATATTCTACTCTAAAAGCTTTTTGGAGCTTTTGGAGTGGGCTGTATGCATCCACATATGCGTTCAAAGTGAGGTAGGGTTCACTATAATCAAACCGAGACCAAGGTTTTTTTAAACAAAGCGGTATAGAGTTTGCTGTTTTGGTCCACATTAGTTTGATTACCTATTCACATCTCCCCAAACAAACCAAACTTTCAAGGCAAATGAACAAGAGTTTGATTAAAGCAGACTAAACATCCTAACTCGTCCATTTCTGCATTCATGTTTTGCATATCCCGTATTTCAACTCTGACCACTGTACACATTTTGCTGTAAATTCATAACGTAGTTTTTTGTATTCATACTTCATAAGAAAAGACAGATTCATTGTGAAAAGTTTGAAATGTCTTAGATTTTGACACAATAAATGTATAGGAATCCTGGAAGTAGCTAGAAAAAACAAAATGTCTTGTTGCTTAACATATTTTAACTTAAAACTCCAGTTACACCATGTTTGTGTTTTGTTTCTCCCAGACCCCTGGCGGAGGACCTGGTCCTCATCCCATGTTGCCCAACATGGATCCTACACGACCACAAGGTGCAGATTTGCACCACATCTACTATTCATATTTATTTGTCTGGTTTACTAAAAGTCCCCTTTATTCCTCCAGGCCATCCTAATTTGGGGCCAATGCAGAGAATGAGTGGCCCTCGTGGCATGGGGCCCATGGGGCCTGGCCCTCAGGTAGGTCTCTCAGTTTGTGCAGAATGCTTTGCTGCTTTCTTTGTGATCAGGACGTCCGTCTTGTCAGTTTCTGTGCAGACAACAAGCCATAAGTGAATTCATTTTGATGACATTAGTGGCCAGCTCTGTTACCACGGCAACCAAATTGTATCTAATGTTGTTTGAAATGAGATTTATTGTTAAAAGTTTGGGCGTCTCTGCAGAACTTCGGCGGTGGTATGAGGCCTCCACACAACGCCATGGGTCCTGGTATGCCAGGAGTGAACATGTGAGATCTTTGGTCCTTTGACAGATTTTTGCACAATTGTCTGCATAAGTTAAAAAAAAAAAAAAAACAACTCAGGTTTTTACCTTTTAGGGGCCCAGGGACAGGTCGACCATGGCCCAATCCTAACAATGCCAATACTGTGAGTACGACTGCACAACAAAACGCAAGCATACAGTTGGAGAAATTATGTTTCAGATTGCTCTTTTCCCCCCCCCCCTCCCCTCCTCTCTTCTGGTCTGGGATGTAATTGTGGTATTATGTGTCATAGTTTCCACAGACGGTTGGACAGCCAGCTGTAATGGCATTAGGATGATGGGATGATAAATGATGACAGCTCGAGGTGTAGAAAGGGTTTGCTCTCTCTCTCTATCTCTCTCAGTCTGTAATGTTTCTGTCTTTGGTTTCAGATGCCTTACTCATCACCCTCTCCTGGCGCATACGGGGTGAGGATGGATCAGTCTGGCACATTTTACAGAAATGGTTTTATTTCTTGAATAAATAGCTGTAATGTGTCTGCATTTGTTTGTTTTTTTTCCAAAGGGGGCATCTGGAGGTGGAGGTCCTCCTGGAACTCCCATCATGCCCAGCCCTGCAGGTTGGTGCTCCTCGTATGAAACGCCAGCTTTCAGACTTGTTCTTCTCCTGCCACACATTTTCATTGTCATCTTATCCCCTTAGACTCAAACAACTCTGGTGACAACTTGTACACTATGATCAACACTGGACCAGGCAACCGAAATAATGTAAGAATATCCATCGTAATTTCATCTAGTTAATGTGGTGGCTTTTATAATATGCATCTTTTTTTTTTACAGATAACCATTTAAAAAGCCAGACTTGTGAATGAAATGGGACCAAAATATTTCATATAAGAAGGATTCATGCTTTCTTGTGTTTTCAGGGTTTAAGTGTTTGAATAAAACTCCATAGTTCCAGTTCTAGAACCGGTTCTGGAAGGACACGTCATTGACTCTCTTCAAATGTCTCTAAAGTGCATGTCTGTAATTGAGATAGATTGCAATATATTTCTCTTCACATATCATGTTATTTACCTCACTGTCTCTGCAAACAGCTGTTTTAATGTCAACGGGCTACTTTTAATTATTGTGTCAAACAACTAAAAAGCGGTTCAGACCAGCTGACGCCTAATTGGCAATGGGCTGCAGGAATTACACATGGAGAATTTATTTAAACATGATACTAAAGTGGTGTTTCTGCAAGGTTGTGACAAAGTTATGTTCAGCTTTTTCTGCAAGCCTTTCACAGAATACAGTTTCTCCTAACTGTATGTTTTATTCTGTTAAATGTTATTATTTACCACCAGCTCCTTCATCCAGCAAAAATGCATATTGAATAAGTAGTTTGCTAAAACTCACCGTTGTGACGAAGTTCACCCTATAACAGGCCTGAATTAACCGCATGCCAAGAAATGTAAATATAACTTTAGAAAGTGGTATTGCAATTGCTGAAAGAAAAAAAAAGAAGAAAAAAAAGGAACTCTCCAGTTCTGTTTTTGAGCTGCTCTGGTTTGGAGCCCCTCAAACTTTACAATACAATAGTTGGGCTTTGGAGCCTGTAGTTGAGTTGCATTAATACAACAGCCTGTGCTGTGGTGCTGGTGTAAGTGAACCGTTGTCACTTTTTTTTTTACCCACTCAGTTCCCAATGGGCCCGGGCTCTGACGGGCCCCTGGGAGCCATGGCTGGGATGGAACCACACCACATGAATGGATCACTAGGTAACACTGCAAGCTATTAAAGATCAACGCACACAAACATTTTAATGCTTTTACTTCCATAAATATCAAAACTCTGCACGTTTCTTCTGTTTTTTTTTTGTGGTTGCTTTCGTGTGCAGGCTCTGGAGACATGGATGGAATGAACAAGGTAAATCATGTGGCCATACTCTTCTGTGTGTTTGTTTTTTGTTTTCATTTTAGACCTTTATCTCTTTTTAAAGTGGAATGCTGTCCTGTACATTTAAGAAGAACAAAAAGCAGACTGTGATGTTCTTGCTTCCAGAATTCCCCAAACAATTTAAGTGGCATTAGCAATCCTCCCGGGACCCCGCGGGATGACGGAGAGCTGAGTGGAAACTTCCTCCACTCCTTCCAGAGTGAGAACGTGAGTGGCTTTTTTTTTTTTTCTTTTTCGCCTCCTCACCAGTGGACCGTAGCAGTAACGCTTCAGGGATCACGTTGGCCTGAAAACCTGCGTTGTTATTCATCCTTATCCTCTGCTTTGTTTTCTTCCACAGTACTCTCCCACCATGACGATGAGTGTGTGACCCCCCTCTCCTCCCACCTCCGTCCCATCGCCCCCTCCCCCCTTCCCCCACCCAGCATTATTTGCCATCATTCCAAGGATCTGAACTCGCAGCCGAAACATGGCCAAAACACATCAGCGCCAAAATCAGGGACAGGCGCCATTTTGGTTCCACACTAATGCCAGAATGCAAGCGACCACTGCTCCTTACTCAAAATGAAGGACGATTTTCCTCCATCTATTACAACCACACGTGACAGAAACCAGCTACTGAAATGCAAACATGACACGTTTTATGTTCCTTTTGCAGAAGCTCCCCTTCCAATGCCACCGAGTCCCATCAACCTTCCTCAGTGAACAGGAAAAAAAAAAAAAAAAAAAAAAAAAGGTTGACGTTTACCTCTTATACATTTCAATGATCGCTTCGTGGTGCAAAATGTGCAGGAAATATCCGCTTTTTGTCATTTAAACACTGGAGAGTGTGCATATGCATTGTGAGCTTGGAACGTCTTTGTCTTGTCCTTTTTATTTTATAATTTTCTTTTCTTATATATGTTTTGCCATGCATACCGTCTCACTATGTCGGGTGACATAGGATTCTGAATTTGCCTTTCCCCCCCATGTCCCGCCCAGCGGCCACCTTTAATAATAATGTACTATTCCCTTCTGAACCAATCCTTCTATTTAAAGAGATTTTAAGGGTAAAATGTGTGAGAGAAATGTGGCTTTTACTTCTTCTCATGTCCTTTTGATCCTTTTCCGGCCTATTGTTGACGGCTAAACGGCTCCACTCTCTGAGCTGCTCCACTCAAACGGCTGGACTGCTGCGGCTGCCGTTTGCTGTCAGGGGAAGCCAGACTTTGGCATAGGAAGTGAGTGCATGAGTGCTGAGGGTTTGTGTACAACATACTACCTAGTGCTGCTCTTCTCTATGTGGACACCTGCTTTAAGATGTGGTGTGTATCCTTACCTGCCTGTGCTTAACACTCTGTGCTCCTCATCGTCGTAGCCTTCCGTGTTTGTTTTCTTTTTGTTTGTTTTTGGTTTTGTTACGATAAAATGGCCCATTTGTTTATATCACTGGTCGTCCCCATCGCCCCCATTTTCCCTCCCCCTTTTAGCCCATCAACTTTTTTTTTATTTTTTTTATATTTTGATTAAAAAAAAACACTGACTACGTATATTGCCTCAGTTATTCAGTTAGTCAAAGCTTTCTAAACTGATTCTAGTAGGCGTCATTATAAAGTTAGCATCAGTCTTGTAAATGTGATGAGAAGTTTTTGTTTTATTTTCTTTTTTTTGTTGTTGTTTTTTTTCCTGTGAACATTACACATTATACACATCTGTCCTATGTTGCCTTTATTTGCTGATATTTTTTTATTTCAAATTGAGGAAAGATTGCTTGTTAATATAATTTTACAATAACTTATTTCACTGTGCGAGTTTTTATTTGGGCTGAATATAGATTACGTGCTGCAGACATATGGAGGAGCATTTTGAGACATTAGGAAGCCATCGTAAACTTAATTTGTTTCGGTGATTCATTTCAAAGGGTGATGCTGATATAAATTCAAAACTATATAAAACTACAAGTGTAGAACATATCAAATGTTCATTTCTAGTGATTTCTATGTTTTTGAAACTAGCAAAAACCCAAAATGCACTTCCTCAGGAAATGTGAATGATCTATAATGTGGATATTAATATGTAACTTTAATAGCCTGCAGAATATTGTGGTGACTAGATGGTTGTTAAACAGATGATCCCATCCGACCCTGCATTGGAGGTGTAGACCTGGTTGCATCCAAGATGGCACTGCATGATAACAGGATGATATGCCATTACTAAAAGTTACAATCTTGATTACGATAAATCCGCATTTTCTTAACAATTCCACAATGTTCCCACTGTTTTCTGAGAGTTTCAACATCTCAGCCATTAACCAGTCATTCAGTGAAGGCTTCAGTTGGTGTCCATTTAAATAATCATATTTTACTGAGGTCAGATGATCAATAATGTTCGATACATTTAGCAGCTCTAGCTCAAGTATATTAATGGAAAGTTGAGTGGAAGGAAAAGGTTTAATACAAAGTGGCGTGCGTACCACAGTTGGAGTCATTGACTTAGGAGCCAACACACAGAGACGTATCTGGGACATGGGCTACAGCTCGTACCTTCCTCTTGTTAAGCCTCTACTGAACCCGAGACAACATGAAAAGTGATTAAGCAGAAAGGTTAGACTTTTGCTCTATTGTGAAAAGTTTTTTTTTCTTCCAGATGAAAGGACATTTTATGTTTATTGGAAAAAAAATCAAGAACCCAGAATCTGAAGAAAGAGTGGGGAGGCAAAGATTTAAGCAAGTTTACACTTTCCAGTGATTTGTAGAGCCGTGACGTTCTCTGGCATTGGTCCTCTGTTGTTTTATTTTATTTTTTTTAATTCCAAAATCAACATAGTTGTCTACCAGGATTTCCAACCACTTCACGTTTCCTTCTGCTCTCAAGCATTATAGAGGTGGATGCTTTCTTTTTATTGCCGTCAAAGCAAAAGGTTTCAACGTCTGCTTTGACGACTGTGGTGTTACTGTGATGGACTGACCAGCAAACTCACCTGTATTATTGTCAAGAGGAAGCTGAGAGACACCAGAACCAACCAATCGGATGAACTGAAGGCTGAGATAAAGCAACCTGGACTTCCTGAACACCTCAGCAGAGCCAGCAGCTGATCTCATCCATGAAGCCACGAACAACTGATGGAAAAACTTCATGCACAGCTTCTTTTCAAGTAGGACCACGCTTTTCTATTTTAGATCATTACTTAAATAACTATTGGTCTTCTGTGGTAATTTTAAGTTTCTGAGAAACTGAATTTGGGGTTGCTTATTAGCTGTGTCAGAACTAACAGATTATTATCCTTTAAAGGAATAGTTGAATTTCTCTTTCGATTGATTTACATAAACTAACTTTGATGATGTTCTAGTTTGAGATGCGTCTGCTGGTGTGTATTGACGGCTATAACAGTGGATATAAATCAACTGTTGAGTTGTTGTAGCTCTTTTCTGAACCTTTAATGAACTCCCCCAGTGTCTGCTTTAAAGCCTGATGGTGTAGGCGAAACCACGCTGTCAACCGGAGGAAATCCTGGACTGTGGAAGTCCTTCGTGACGGAGGAAGTTCTTCCTCATCAGGTCTGGGCTCATCAGAGTTCGGTGTGAGAAAGGCAGAGAGGTGGGCTTTGTTTTTGTATCCGTCACAGTTGGTCAAAGAAGGTTGGCCGGATAACATTACGTTTATACCTACAGATTTATTAAACAGGGTTTATAAAATCCTGGAATGGAAAAAGATAACCATATAGATTATTTCTGTATCCTGCAAGGAAAGCTTGGTAAAAACGAATTTACATTCTTTACAGTGTTTTTCATAAATTCCACTGTATGCCAACAGTAAGAGGAATCTCTGGTGTATAACATTCAAACCTTTTAGTGGTCTCCACAGTGGGCAGCGACTCAAAAGCCGCTCTCTCTTTGAGCGTGGGTGCTGATGTCATACTTTTAAGTGACCCGTTTAACAGTCCCTACACTGCCACCTTCTGGGCAACTTGTGTAAAATCATACAGACGTTCCTTAAAACCTGCATACCTGGCAGCCACTCAGAGCTGCTGAACACTCAGGAACATTTTGCCAGTCCTGTACTGCACAGGACTAATTACAAATAAAACAAATTGTGTGGAAAATCGCAATGAATAAACTGCCCAGCTAAGCGAGCATAATGCGTCACTAGCTGTATTTTATACTGTGACTAAATACCATATTTTCGCTGTTTGGGTAGAAATGTTCACTTGGTTTAATAGGGGAGGATAGTGGATGGTCTGAAGATTAAACCAGGAGCTGAATGAGGAAAGAATAAAGCCAAGATGTTAGGAACAAGTTAATTTATTTCCCTTTTTTTCCCCAAAACATCAAACAATATTAGTATCAAACGGTGGTATCGCTTATCATTAGACATTAAACGTTTAAAAGGCATGTTGTTCACCTGATTGGACATGTGAAACTACAAGGTACCTAAAAATAGGAATTTTTAGGGAGTGGGGAATAGTGGGATAAACTTTATTTTGTAGAAATTAAGTAAGTAAAGAATCCTGCATGAGATCATCACAGTTCACGTATATATGATTCAGACGTTCATCCACTGTATAAGAAATGCAGTTTTTAAAACTGTGACGAACGATAGGAAATGGATAGATATTTAAAAGTCAATTGGCACGAATTTACTCTTGGTTTTCGGTCTAAGATTACAAACAGTACAAACTGCCCCCTGGTGGACTAAAGTGGAACCTGCATGTCATGCAGGAACTCGGAGCAGGGAAGAGAGACTGCTGGTCTGCACATTTTAAGGTCCAAGTTTGTATCCAAACAGGACAACTGTTGGGAGGTTCTGACCGTATTCTGGTTCCTGTCCCGACAAAAGGAAGTCAGCCGGGTTGAGCTGCTGTGAGCCTGGCTCCACAGGATGTGAGCTGGCTGGGCCAGAGCCAAACACACTCAGGCCAAACTTAGAGCTACACAGTTTTGTGTTGTCAAAGCTACATAAAAATGTGTGTGTGTGTGTGTGTGTTTTAATCATATCCATGTGGGAGACTTATAAACAAAATGTCGTTTTAATGTAGTGTCCTTGGCCTCGCAGAATAAGCTGAGACACATAAAGCAACAACGTGACCTTTTATTTTGCTCAAACCACTGTATTTTATAGCAAAATATATGAAAATGAAGCAAAAAATACATGAGCATTCTAATATTGCTCATGTATTTTTTCTGTGCTTCCTCCCCCGATTCCAGGCGAAACAGATATGCACTTTGATATGCTATAAAAAGCAAACACTTGTTGCATAACGACAACAGTGCTAACTGCAGGAGTCAGCTGAGATGTCTGTTGAGCAATAACCAGCATAGCAACCTGAATGTGGAGCTTCACAACTCAAACTTGCACATCTGCATAGAGTCAGACTGCTGATAACAAACACTCTGTTGTATTGCTATAGCCTCCAGACAGTCAGCACCTGGAGAGCCTTTCCCTGAAGCAAGAATAAGACCTCTGTGAATTTGCAGCAGTCTTTTTCTGATTCAGTAAGCTGGTGAGATCAGACGAGTCACAGTGACTCGGACTAGGACCATACAGCTAGTTTCGTCGAATGAGCAATATTGTGGAAAACTACCATGATAATCGAGGCAAGATTAAAGTATATACCTTTAGTTAGTTTCTATCGGGGTTTATTTCCCGGTTGATCTGCCGGCAATTTGCAAAAGTGTGTATAGTCATTGAACTTTTCCATAATGTCAGGAATTAATGCAGTAGAGCATTAGTAAACAAACAACTTGAAGAATGTGGATCACAGCGGGCAGGTCAGTGATGAAGATGTTGCTATGAGGTTATAAAAGAATATCCCTGGCTTTGTTCGCTATATCATCTGAGAACGGAAGGAGTACAACACAAAAACAAATCTCCCAAGACATGGCCGTCCACCTAAGCTGACCGTTCCGGCCTGGGGAGCTTAAGCCTCGGTAACTTTGGAGGAGCTGAGGAGATCTGTAGTTCAGGTGAGAGGATCTTTTGACATGATGGTCATAAAACTACTGCAATCTAACAAACTTTTTTCCAGCACCTTTTTAATTATTTCAATTTTATTCATTTTTTTCACCGGTTTACCTCTTGGGCAGGTTTTCCTCCAAAAAGAAGTTTTATCTTAAGGGACTTCCTGTTATAACAACGGTCAAAAAAAAATAAAGTGATAGGAAAACATACTGGAGTTTTTGGTTGACATGCAGCAGCTTATTAGGCACACAATCCTAACCTGAAAGCATCCTCCCCATGCTGAAACGTGACGGTGGCGGTATTGTGTTGTGTAGAAGCTTTGTTCAGGAGAAACGGAAACCAGTCAAATTGAAGCACGCCACAGTTTTAAGGCTTTAGTTGTTAAAGGTTTTGAAAACCATGTGTACCTTTCCTTCCAGTTCAGTTATCCACTACTTTTTTTTGTTGGTTTATAACAAAGCCCTTACAAATGCATTGTGATATCTTCAGTGTCACTAGCGAGGCATGTTTGGATTCCCCCCATGGAGCTCCGAAACCCAATTAGAGCTGAGCCAAAGATGCGTGATGAGTGGATAAATCTTGACTTACATCTTTGATTTTTACAGAATATACTGGTGTTACTGACACCGACTGAAGAAATGGAAAACGAATGAGCAGTTCTAGTAATTTATATCTTAAATTTAAGACACCAGCTCCCTCCCACCAAGCTTTATAAACAAACTCCAAGCTGACCGCTTCCGTGTTTCACCTCATCTGATCACAGATCCCAATGGTTTCATCTGCGGCCGTCATTAAGAAACACAGAGCTGAGGTTGAGCTAAGACCGTGTATATGAAAGTAGCAGGAGAGCCTGGGGGTGACAACGGAGCTGTCGTTATTCAGTGGTAAATGCCATAGAGGCACAAGTTCACATAGAGATAACAGTGTTTTGATTCAGGGCCAATAAAGAGTTAATAACACAGTCAGATTGGCAGAGTCCAATCAAACAAAGCATTTTCGGCAACTGCAGCTTTCCCGAGAAAAGGTTTGACTTATTTCATCTTCTGCAGGACTGACCGCACCTCCATAGGATCGTAGCCCCAAGGCCCCATTTTGCCCTGCAGAAAAAAGAGAGAGGAAGCATTACAGCTGCGTCATAGCTAAAACCTTTGACTTTCACCGAAGGCAGAAGCGGATCAACAAGTCGTCACGAAACACGTCTTGGGCAAGGGACCTTTCCGTTTTGATGTTATCGACAATATTACCGCATACCAAAAATTCTTCTTAAGCGTCTGTTTTGTTTTCACCGGTCCTGATCACGCAATGCCCTGTGATCAGGCCAAGGGGAGCCACACATCTGCTTAACTTCAGCTTCGGCAGTTACACAACAAAAGGAGGAGCCACACAGAATGTTCTCGTCTTACAGGATATTTTGGCCGAGCTCCAAATTTCCCTCGTGTTTTTTAACACAAGGACGTTGATATTGAATTTTAGATTCCTGGAAGAGCTTCTAGCGCCTGCACTGACTTCTGCAATAACAGCTACTTTAAACATTAGAAATCACTTTTTTTTTATTTATGTTTTTCTTGGTATTTTACTGCGTCTTGGTGATAATTCACATTAAAAAAAATTACCACCTACTTTATTCATGTCTACTTTGTACAACTTTCAATCATACGTTGTGTGTGCGATTGTTGCATTTTACTTTTTATTTAGCGTCCCAGCTGTTTAAATGTCATGCATGTCAGCTATTTCTGGTGCAAGAGGTGCAGAGCTCCCACCTTATAAAGGACTTTTCCAGCCTGCAGCACGTACAGCCTCTCAGGTTGGGCGGCATACTTGATGGCTGAGACATTACTCATCTCATCCACCACCACAGGACACAGAGGGTCATTCTGAAGCAGGATCTGTGCTGCAAACAGCCTGTCCTCCAGGCTCCGGTGCTCACTGATGTCAAAGTTGTTGCCAAAGGACCACCCATCTGAGACGCATTTCATTTAAATCATAAAGAGTGCAGCAGGACATAAATGAGGATCATAAATGCTTTTACAATATGTTCCATGAGTTACAACCTAATTTTTGGTACTTTAATGTTTCTGATGTTAGCTAGGATATAAAATGGCGAAAGACACGAAACAAGCAGAGGTCTGTTAATCAAAGTTGCAATTGCAACCGCATACGCCAGTGTTTTCCTAAGTATTTAAAGTGCAAAATTAGCACTTTTATAAAAGTGAGCTCAAAGGCAAATAATACACTTTTTTTTTGTTCTTTCTACAAATTAAAATCTAAAAATCAAGTTGTGCCTTTGGATTCAGTCCTACCCAGTCAAAACTTTCCTTAGGAGAATGTCTCCATCAGCTTTGCACACACAGTACTTGAAATATTTGCAAATTTTTCCAAGTAAAATAGTTCATTTTCATCCAGATTAGCAATTACATTTTCACATAAGGCCAGGGTATGTTGGGTAGCTGTTTTCCTCTAACAAATATGAGACCCCCATAAGAACAAACACTTGTGATATACGCTAAATCTCTGACTCCAGAGTCACCATGGACCTTATTCGATTGAATCCCTCCTTGCCCAAAATCCAGATCTTAGAAAACATTTTTTTTTTTAACTTGGTGTATCAGAATTACGTGGACTGCATACAAAACCCATTTGTAAAAGTTTAATTGTAAACCATCATATTCTGGCAACTTGTGCACTACTTTGTGTTGGTCGATTACGTAATAGCACACTGAAGCGTGTGGCTGGGGCGTGAGAATGAAGGAATGAATGAGCTGCGCATGTGTATAAGGTAAAGCCAAATTAATCACTGCACCCCGATAACTTCCTCGTGGATTGATATCACGTGAGTCCGTGCTTTTTTTTTTTTTTTTTTAGATTTCACGCACCTGTTGAATGGGCCTCAGCGACGTAGACCACAAGAAAGTCCGCCACGTCCCCGAAGTCCCTGACGAGCTGCTTGAACTCGTCAAGCTTGAACATAAACGGGGGTCAGGTGCAGCTTCCAAAACTCAACACCAGCGGTCTGTTGCCTGCAGACAGGAGGCGGCACAAATGTTAGCGACCGAGAATAAAGGCGGACACGGGATGCATGCATGTCGGGGCCAACAAATACGCACCGTTGAGGTACTTGAAGATGCTGGTTCTCTCCCCATCCATGCTGATCACAGGTGAGTCTGGAGCTTCTCCTCCAACAAAAGCCTCTTGTCCCAGTGAAAGCCACATAGTCGTAGAGGCAACCTTAATAAATGCAAGCGATCCATAAGTCAGGCCCCAATCCTCGTAGGTAAACTTGGGATTCTGGGTCATGGTGAACTTTTCTCCCATTTTCAGGATGAGCTTCCTGGCGAGGTTCGGCGAGAGAGCTTTTAAAATGTTGAGGAAGACGCTCAGAACGATAATATAGCAGAACATGCATGGTGCTGTTAGATAAACGAGCAACTTTTGCAGAAACATCGTCCCTTCCTTAGGGAGGGAGATAAAACCCCGTTGTCGCTGCGACTCACGGATCCAGTCCTGCACTAATAAACCCTGCCTGTTACCTCACGCTTTTTTTTTTTTTAAATATATAACCGATGCCTTCACGGACTCTCTGCATGCTCGTATTTTCTAGTAGCACAGAGAAAACACCGAACTGTCGCGCCAAATCTAAGCCATACAGAGAGCAGCTTTCTTCGCTGTAATAAGATTCATATAAAATGTCTGAATTATAATTTATCGCGTTAAGGAAAAAAAGCTTGCTGAAGTAGACCGCTGCTTCCTCTTTCGCATTTTGAGAAAAAGTCTGCACTTTTTTTGGCTCTCATAGTCAAAGTTTTGCTGTACCACACACAGTCTTGTACCAACTTTTAGCTACATGGTCAGATTTATCTTTGCCTGATTACTTAAAGAAAGTAGATAAAATCATCAGAACCATTCCGACTCAGAACTCCAGCTTTGAATCGTATGGCTGCTTTCTAAGGCTATAATGCAGGCATTATTCTTTTAATATCTAGGTCTAACATGAAGCTCTGGTTAGGTGTGTTAACACAAAATAGATTCACATTTAGTGCCCCATCACTAATCTTAATTAAAAAAAACATGTTAAATAAATCTTAAATATATTTAGCATGTTTAAAATAACATGTTAAATAATCTAAATTAATAACACTAATTCAAACGGTACCTGAAGGCAGCACAAATGCACCCCCATGTAGTGCATGTGCTTTATTTTACAACTGGTAACGCAGGTTAACCTCAGCTTTTTAGTGTTTATTTTTCCTCATAAAGGCCACTAGATGGCGGTGCAGAGCCATGTCTCCTCGTTGAAAAATGCAGACTCAAGATTTTCATCGATCGGAAGATGAGACATAATAAAAGGATTTCGATTGTCATTTTTCTGCTGTGAGTATGTTTAAAGAATATGTTTCACAGGAAAGTAACCTACATAGTGTTTTATAAGTTAATATAATCTTCCTTCCTTGGGATCTTTTTGAATTGAGCATATGGATTAAAAAAAATAGATATATTAATTGTAAAGAATTTCTTGGGAAATGTAGGTTTTCAAAGAAAGCCCGAAGTTATTCTGCTTTTTATTCTCCAAGCAGAAGATTTGGGCGGTAAAAACATGGCTGAACTTTTAGCTGGCAAAAAAAAAAAAAAAAAAAAAAAAAAAAGGTAAAAGAAAATCAACTTGAAGTGGAAGAATAAAAAGAGACAATATCGAGAGTTTGACTGCCCACCAACAATGTACCATGAAGTTATATGAAGATATGCATCTTACAATTAGTACAGCTGCTACAGCTTCCGACCCAGATCTTATCCTCCCACAGAAACGCGCACCCAGTCCTTATTGGCGCTCCTGAATCGTGCAGACCAGCGCAGCGATCTGTCAATCTCACAGAAGGAGAGCGGCAGAATGGGATGCTGAGTGACTGAAGACGATGCTATGGATCAGTCTTTCAGACGCTCTCCTGTTCAGTTTAACATGATATTTAAACTTAACCTGACCCTTATCAAACGACTGAATAAGGTATATTACCACATTTTCATTTTATTGTTTTTTTTTTTAATTATGATTTTATTATTATTTGACTCAACTAAACCATGTTGTTGACTGGCTGTGTTTGAGTTTTGGAACGATTGCTGTGATTTATTTTTCTTGCTACGTCCGTATAGGGAATGTGAAGAAGCGGCCAAGGGTTGCACGGGGAAAGCCGACTGATCGATGCACCGCTCCTCAGCGCAGGTAGGGATGGTGAGCCGCTGTCAGACCCAAGCCTTCCCGGACATCACCGGCTTGACGCTCTCCGTGTTCGGCGGCAAGGCGGAGGAGATGTGCGCGCGGAAAGGCTTTGGATCGCAGGTCTACCGGAACTCCAGCGACCCCCACAGCATGAGCTCCGCTTGCCCGAAGCGACTCATCGCTCAGTCCGAGGAAAGAGCGCATCTGACGGCCAAAAGTGCGCGCTTGTGCCTCTCTCTGCCGCCGCTCCAAGGTAAGGCTCATTCAGCGCGAGCAAAAATGTTACAGGGATGCTGAGGTTGATTATTCGTGGCCGTGGCGACTGAAATCAACTCAGACGCGTTTACGTTGCAATTGTATCTTTTGGAATGAACCAACTTTGATTATTGGATTTGAACTTACTGAGACGTTCTTATTGTTGCTGCTAAATTGCACCCATAAAGCATCCTGTGATGCAGATGTGTGTGTGTGTGTTTTTTTTTTTTTTTGTGTTTTTTTTTGCTGTTTTAGATTATGCTTGATAATTAAACGCAGAACTCCCTGGGATTAATTTGCCTGTTCGTAAATATCACCAGAATCAAAGTCTCCTTCCTGTCACATCTAAAGCCATGTGGAGCTACAGCCCTGAGTGTGTTAACAAGGCATAACAGCGTTCACGGAAGTAGTAGATTTTTTTATTTTTTTATTTTTTACCTCCGTTATATAAGAAAGCTTTGCGTCTTGGAGTTGTGATAGGTATTACTGCTAAAATAAACTCACTCATGAAAATATTTAACAATTCTCCTAACTTGGAGATTAAAATCTTTTAAACAAAGATTACGCAGATGAAGCGAGCTCTTTCCAGGACTGAAAAACCTTTAAGTCTCTGTGGAAGCCTTCTCCATGCATCCTGACAAAGACCGGGTTGATGTGAGAGGGATTGGGGGTGGTGGTGGTAATTACACTCCCTAAATTATGATTACCCTGAACGGAGTATTATATTAGCAACCCTCCTCCTCTCAGCAAGAAGAGGATCAACAGATTTGATTATTGTTTGTTCTCCTCCAAACACAAACCATATGTCTTCTGAATGCGCCTCGGCATTTATGAGTTCTCTCGAAGCGCAGTTGTGCCCTCAGCGTCCTGAAAAGCAGAATGAATTGCCTCATTGTCTTCTGAAAAAGGCCTTTGAACCAGCTTCCCGTAAATTGTGGGGATGTGTTTATGGATGATGCTGTGTGGATTAAAACTGAAGCAGATGAGTGTATTTGTGCTGAGTCTGGGAAGTTTTAGTGTGATATTTAAAAAAAAAAAAGAAATATCACCTTTCTCCTCTTCTTCTTTTTTGTTTGAGAATCAAAATCTCTCATTATTTTATTGTTACATAAATTTAAACGTGACCTTTTTAACTTTGTTCTCTGTAGCATCAAGTAATTTTTTCCCCCCCCGTCTGATTTTATAGTTTCTTTCGTTGAGCACCGACTATGAAAATGATCTCAGTACTCATCAGTCTTTTGTATCACGCCCCATTTCAGACTGATCGTATTACATACTCCCATTTGGGGACCGCACAGATTTTAAGCATCATTCTCCATCATTACTTTTAGATTTATAAGGGGAAAAGCAAAAGAATCTCTGAGCAAATCCAGACTCATGTTTACTTTTATGAAGATAAGACAGTGGAGGGAGAACTTACCTCAGACTGGACATTTCTGACCTCTTGATATGCGTCCTGTGATTGTGAAAAGTAAACTACAACTGACTGATGAAAGTGATTCAGACGTGAGTGATGGCGTTTCGTGTAATCCTCAGAGATAAAGGCTACGGGATGGTCAGAAGTTTAAACATATATTTTTTTAATGATGCCAAACTTTTGTCTCCACGTTTACAATGGCGTGTGAATGACTCTCAAAAGAACTGCTTCACGGTTGGCTTTAATTTTCAGGTGTCTTATGATGTGGCGTTCATCCGTTCAAGCGATTCTAGGTATATATAAACACCATGGGAGTGTGCAGTTGTCATGTTGTTCAGGGAGATTTTGCTTTCCAAAGAGATAATCATGTTTTACTCCAAAAGCCGCAAAAAAAAAAATATATATATATAAAAAAAAGGCCAGACTACAGTATACAAATGCAAACCTGGAAACAATCTTCTTCTTTTTTTTTTTTTTGTGATTTCAGAGAGCAAAAATGGGAAGTATTTGCCCATAATGATGATTGTTACATTTGGAAGAAAAAGGTGAGGCTTGTAAACCAGCTCAGCTGTAAAGTATGTCATTGACAACCTCATATTGAGTGGAGGTTTAGCCGCGGCAGGGACCGGTGCACTTCATCAAGCAGATGGCAACATGTGGAAGCAACATTTGCAAATATTGAGGGGAACACAAAGTCCATATTTTGGACTGGACATCACAAAGTCGTGATGTCGGCTCCTTAGAATATTCCGAAAAGCTGTGTGTGTGTGTGTGTGTGTGTGTGTGTGCGCGAGCGAGCGAGCAAAGTTCCCTACGATCTGACCCAGTTAAACCAGTTCTGTCAGGAGGAATGGGTCAAAAAGTCCAGTAAACTACGGGGACATGAGAAGCTTGAGGAAGGAAGTCCAAAACATTTGATCCGAGTCATGAACTTCAGCACATTAAAGAAAATTAAAAATAATTTCAATTAATTCTGGCATCTAGGAAATAGAAATAATTTTGGTAATCCTGGTGTAAAACAGGAAACGTGTTAGACAGTGACATAAAGTAGTTATGAGTATATGTATACTGTGTATGTAAATATCTAGTTCCTACCGTACCTTCAACCGTTCTATAGGTCGAGTTAGTGAGTATCTGATATTCCACCTGAAACCTGAATATTAGGCTTGAATGAAACATGGATTCTAGCATTTGACAGCCTAATAAATTTTCTCCTGGCACCAAGCGATGGTGCAGAGTCTTGGAGCGTTTCTGTGAAAAATGTTTGAGTTACACACTCCCTCCCTCTCATTAGAGTGTTTAAGACCTAATCGTTATTGGCTCTTTTGTTGCTTATTTACATGCATCATTGTGCAACATATTTCTGGAGTCTACATGCTGCACCGCTTAGTGCGAGAATCCATCTTCTAATTGGAGTTGTCCCAGCTATGAAAAAGGACTTATACCTTCATACTACACTTGCACGTGTTATTGTGGTGAAGTGGTATTGGCAAAAATGTAAAAAAACAAAAAAAAAAATCCTCAGTACTGACATACCTTCCAGCAGGATTTGTCGATGTCAGGCTGCAGGGCGTTAATCTGACTGTTATGAGAAACAACCGGCCATTACCGCTCCGCTTTGAGCCTTTGCACTGTCAAGTTCCTAATGACAGCTTTCCAGTAGCTTGTGAATAGCTTTTGGCTGCGAGTGTGCAACATTTTGGAAAGCAGAATGCCATTAAACGCATGTAATTGTGTCAGCTATTCTAATCAAACCGTGCAGGGGTTTTTTTTTCCCCTCTAAGCAGATATAAACAGTTTTTTGTGTAGTGGAAATTAAAAAAAAACACTGCATACAGTAATTGTTGTAGTTGTATTAGTCAGACTTCATTGTGTTTAAAATTAGCAAACAAAATCAGCAATATATAACATCTTTGTCTAACTGAACATTTATCCTAATGCCTTCTTTTGCTTTAAAACATTCGTCTGTGTAAATATTTAGTTTCGTGTCACATAAAAAGTTTATATACCGATTAATTGTAGGAAATGTTTACTTTAGTTTGTTAACTGGGTCTTATTTTCCATATCTTGCACTGGATTTGAGACATAAAGTTGTTTTCAGTTATTCTCAGAGAAGGTTTAGTTATGCAAGATTTTGCTGAATGCATACATTTTGAGGGAGCTGAACATATTTATAGTTCTGTGTAGCAAGAATAGATCAGGCTGCAGCACAAAGAGCTGTTGTTACATCTAAAATTGGTGGGTCCATCATTGTATTTCTCTCCAGCTTTTGTTTGAGCACAAGCTTGTGTGGAGTAAAAATGTCAGCATTAAAACTAACTACTGAATCCGATATGTCTGCTCAGCAATTTAACTATGGCAGCAAAAACTGGAGTAAAGTCTTTCTCAGAAATGTACAAGTCTCGGATTAAAAAAAAAAAAAGAGAAGAAAATGTACGGAAAGTTAACTGTGCCAAAATAAACCGTCAGACGGTTCCTAATAGTAGTGGAGCAGCTACAGCATAAAAATGATTACTTAGGTTTGCTGTGTTGAGAAAGCTCACATTTAAGTTACTTTAATGTAATTTATGCCATAAATACCACGCATCGTGCTTTTGTGCAACTCATTGTGGAACCTTTACTCAAATTTGCATTTTGTGTTTTCAGAGCATTGCTACATGTTGTCCTGTCTATCCTATAAATATCTTTATGTGGTTGACAAAGTGAATGTATCTGTCGATGATCACAGCTGGTTATTTGGTGCCAAAAAATGCATCATTATGGTTGTGTCTTGTTGCTGTTGAGGAAGATCGGTGAGAAAGATTTGTGCTTTCATTGTAGCTCTGGATCATTTTAGGTGTGTGTCTGTTATGTTACCTTGGACCTTCGTCTTTTATCCCATGGACCCTGAGTGTCTTGAACCCTCAGTTTTTCCTGTGTTGTAAGCTCAAATACAGGTACTATTACTAGCTGCTACAATATTGTATGGCAATCAAAGCTCGCCTACTGTAGTTTTTAGAATAGTGTTATTTTGATAAGATTGATGGGTGGTATTCCTTATTTTTTTTTTCCACAACATGACTGTGAGTTTATAATGACCAGAAACGTCCTTATTTGTCTTTTCTTTGAGCAAAAGTAGCCCTTTGTCAGGCAGCTGACTAAGAGTGTGCATCATCAGGTGGGGGATGGGAGGAAGGCATCATTCTATCCTCCTCACACAGAAATCAGTGATTTAATAGGTATTGCATTTAAAGTTAATAGAAAATATGAACTGTGGAGTCATTTAGACTGTATTGACTGAAATATAGCGCATAGGTTCAAGCTTACACACTCAGGATCCGTCCCTCCAGAAATCTCCATCCTGCAGTTATCAGGGTGGTAGCAGCGCCTTTTTCTAGGATACATTTCTAAGTATTGTAATCTGTTCTCACCCTGGTAGATGCAGTGGAGGCTAAAGAGCAGGTGAAGAAAATCAATCTGGTTTCTGCAAAAAAAACAAAAAAAAACTAAACAGGAAACACTTTTGCTGAGTTGCTTTTCTTTTTTTTTTAAAGTAAACTATCTACTGCTATTACAAGGCATTTAGCACCTACATGAAAAAG